AGCTTGATTTCCGTGTACTGATCTTGCAGCCTGAGTTAACGCGTGACATGTGACACTCGGCCTGCGATCCCGTGTCTCTGGGGGGAAGTGTCAGCACAGCCTGCATCACGGCTGGTTCCGCAGGTCAGTTCAGGACCAAGCGGTACCCGCCCCCTGCACAGCTGCCTGGGGTGGAGGACGGTGACCTGGGCGGAGAGGGTAAAAGCTTCGTCACACCTGTTCCATATCTCCCCCTCAACGGCTCACGGCCGCACCTGCGCGCTGGTGTCCAGAAGGGACTCACACACAAATCAGCTCCAAGACGGAGCCAAACCAGCTGCCTCCAAGGTTGCAGTCGCAGGCCTCGCCCGCTGCCTGGACGGGCCCCGCTTTGGACGGGGAGGCGGCCCACCGACCACCCCGAGCGCTTAAAGGAACAGAGCCTGAAACCCAGGGATCTGAGGACAGGAACCCCAAGCTCCTCTGAACACAGTCTCAGGTCCCTCCGACCCACCATGCGCGGACTCACCCCGTTTCCAGGCAAAGCCCCTCAAGGAACTTTCTCCCGTCCTGACACACGTCACTCCTCTTCTCCGAGATGCTGTGCGTCTCCCCCTGGTAAGCCCCTCCTCACCCCGACGGGGCCGGCTTCGTGGACGTCTGACAGGTGCCCCACACCCGCTCTGCTGCTATGCGGCTGCTGTCTTGAGACCTGTGGTGACGCTTCCAGGCCCCACAGGCTTCGGGGCCAGTCCTGACCCCGGCCGGGCCTCTCCCGGCCCCCGCCTGGCCTGGGGGCTTCCCCGGGGCAGCCCCTGTCCCAGGCAAGCACGCAACCCGTTTCTGCTGGGCGACAGATGACGCGGGCAATAGCCCACCCCTGGGATGCAGGCAGGGTCTCCCACGGCCTCAGACTCGGTTTTCTGTTTGAAAAGGGACTTTTTGGGCAACAGTGTCTCCACGCCTCCTGCCACCTAGAAGTCGTGTGACCCCAAAGGTCTCTGGAGAAGAGCAGGGCCTGTGGGCTCGGGCCTGGTCCGCTGGGCCCT